CTTGCTGCCCCCAGAAGTCCACAATATGGTGATCATATCCTTTGTGACTCTCACACCATGAATCGCATGGGGAGTATATGATAATTATGTAGTTTGGACCCTCAGCGTTCCTGTGTATGCTTTCAGGTTACTTGGTTAGGGCACAGACGGTCTGAGCGATTCTGGGTTGCAATGCTTACGGTCTGGTTTCAACCTCTGCGCCGCACGTTGCACGGGGTTATCAGCTAGTTGTACGAATGTTTGGTGGCCAGGTGAGACATGTCACGATTTTTTGACGCTCTCAACAAGCCCTTCTAGTTCTAAGCCCCCGCAGGTATGAGATTTTTTTCTCTGTCCCTTTTGGGCTACTTCAAAGTGCAGAAGACTCTAAAACCTGCGTCAGAAGCCCCACACTCACTCCAACCTGCACACAACTCTCTGTGCACTGAGCCCAAAGTAAGTATTTCTTGTAGACAAAGGCCAGCAACCATAATGCACGCAATTCGGCAGAGCTCTGCAATTCTGCCCGGTGTGCTTCAAGTGGTGTCTTTTACATTGCTGCCGCGCATTGCTGCGAAGAGGTTAACACTTAGCAAATGGTCTGTTAAGTGTTTGGACTTCATGACAACTTTTTGATTACACTCACTCTGGAGGTGTGTCAGATCGCTACTGTACTCCCGGCATCATCTCCCGTTGTTGTCACCTGTAGGTTATGTAGGGATAATGGAAAAGAAAATGGAAGCTACCTTATTCTAATAGAGTATATATTGGGGTTATAGTCGCCTTAATAGAGGTCCATTTGTATTACCTGTAGAATCCTCAGACCATCCAGCCTGAATCCCCTAAACCCTGAACCCTAAACCCTAAACCCAGTAGTGCTCTTCGATTAATGTGCAGGGAGAGTGGACCCCGTTCAGACAGTTGTAGCCGTGCCTGCTGTGAGCGATGCGCGTGTCCAAACTCTAAACCCTAAACCCCTAAAGTCTGTGAGGTTTTTACCTTCGTCCTTTGCTACGTGGTGCTTGCCACTGCTACCATCAAGAAGCCAGAGTCACAGCTCACCAAGCAGAGCCTCAAGCATCAGACATCAACTGTTTTCTTTGTCATGGCCTCTTTGTACCGAGGGGTGAAGGGGTGGGTCATGTAAGATGCTATAGCGGTGTAGAAGGTCTAGAGTTCGAAATTGGGACCATAATGTCCTGGAGTTGTTTCCAAGTGTGTTGCAAACTCGTCCCTTTGGTCATCGATGGAGTGTGCTACACAGAGAGAGCAACTTGAAAGCACATTAGAGCTTCAATTCCTTTCCTCCCAGTCCCCTTTCCAGGAAAGGAGAGAGATCCCTCAGCTACCTTGTAGCTACAGCTGGGTCAGCTTATGTACTCAAAGCCGCTCAAGTTTGATCCTGACAGTGAGCACCTGTCAGGGGTCCATGTGTCCAGGACTAAACAGAAGGCCAAGAGCAGTGTTGATAGCAGGGGTGCCGTGTATACAGAAGGAAAAACAGCAAGGAAGCATTGCTCGTGTGCGCCTGCTTGTGGGAGCATCTTGAGACAATCCACAAGGCAAAACCAATACCCCTTTGGGTTTAGCGCTCGATTAAGGAATATACCATGTCCTTATTTCTTTATCAGCGTTCCCCATTTCTCCAGTGTCCCCCAATGGATTCCCGATTTTGCGAACCCTAAGCCCTGAACCCTAACCCCTAAACCCTGCTAATTAAACCCAAAACTTTGACCCCTAAACCCTCATTAAACCCTAAACCCGAACACCTACACCCCATCAAACCCCAACCCGCAAACCCGCGTAAACCCTAAGCCCTAACCCCTAAACCCTCTTGAATCCAAAGCCCTGACCGGTAAACCTCATCAAACCCTCGAACCTAAACCCTAAACCCAATGAAACCCTGAACCGTATTAAACCCTAACCCCTAAACCCGATTGGACTCTAGTCATGAACCGGCCGGCAGGCCAAGTAACCACCAACAAGTCTTAAGCGCTTAGCAAACAGGGCTTTTTGGTCTAGAGTGGGTTAAGGGTTTAGGGGTTTAATAGGGTTAAGGGTTTAATAGGGTTTTGGGTTCTAGGGTTTAGGCTAGGGTTTAAGGTTTCCGCCCTTGAGAGATTCCAAGTTCCTGTGGAAGACAAAGTGGTGCATCCTTAGCTGGGGACCCCGTATTCCCTCTGTAATTCCCAAGTAGCCCAAGTGTCTCTGGTGGCCCTGGGCCTTTAATTTGACAAACTCCATACTCAATGAGACACATAAGCCCAATATAATCCCCTATATACACTCTATATAACCGGTAAATAACCCCTGTAGTTTCCATTTTCTTTTCCATGATCCCAATATGAACCCAACCTAAACCCTAAACCCTAATACTTAGAACATCTTAGAACCCTTTGAACGATCAGAAGACAGGAACTTCTACTTTGGTCTTGCCATTGCTTCTTGCGTCACCGCGGGCGGCTTTGCAGGGGGGGCAGTGTCTGTGGCATCACCAGTCATAAGGGCCCTAAACCCCCAACCCTAAACCCGAAACCCTATTCTTAGGGGCATATATAGGGGATATATTGAGATAATGGAAAAGAAGATGGACACTACAGGGATTTAAGGGGTAATGTTAGGGTTATATTGTATTCTTGGAGCCGGGGCCGGTAGGGAGTGCAGAGAGGGCTTGAGGTGGGGATGTGATCCACTTGAAGCAAGAGAACCTTTTGACTTCACTTGTGAGCTCATGACCATATGGGTGGTTGTCAAAATTATGGTCCCATTTTGGATCCCTATTACAATACGGCACCTAATATTTAGGGTACCCAAAAAGGGACCATCATTTTAACAACCACCCATATCTGTAACTTTCCATACTTCCGCTTCGTTTTGATAGGCATGGTCCCATGAAGTTTTGGAAGCCTTGCATGGTGTAAAGGCGACCAGGCTATTGAGACTTGACACGAAGGAGCACTCTGAGTTCACGAGTCTTGAGGTTCACTTAGTCTGAGCCGCATTTCGGATGTATAGTCCCCAGTAAGTAGATAGAATATAGGGCATATTGGGATCTTACTATGATATACCCAAAGCCATATTCTATATACTTAAGGGGACAATAGTCGCATGCCAGGCTTGCGGCATGCTTTGGGGGCTGTCTGTATGCTTCTTACCGAAGTTTCAATCTGTTCTCTACCCCAAGAAACCCACTTACTTGTATAGTCCTCCCCCTGATAGTCTAACTCTCCCTATCCCCCAATATTGAATGTACCAATTCTATTCAATCAGTATGCCACAATGGAGATATTTGATAATTACGAGGAGGGTGGGGGTTGTAACATGGGGGGGAAAATAAAAGTTGGATCCTCAGTTGTGGCTACTCAGACCAGCTAACTAAAGGGGGCCAGACATGGAACCTCCCAATAATTTGTCCCTCCCCCCGGGCACTAAACCCCAAGCCATACATGATTTTCGACTCCCTATATACCCCTATATACCCGTTTCCCCCGAAAGTAGCTACAGGACCATCTTTTTCCCATATACCCCATATTCTATCTACTTAAGGGGGACTATATCACCGGATTCATTGTAGACAAAGCAGCCCCAAAGTTTAGCGTTTGCTTCTTTTACGGGCCCCTATGTTAGATAGGCCCTAAACCCTAAACCCTAAACCCTGATAGGGGCGTCTCAAAATTGGCCCCATTGGCTCCTGAAAAGAATCCCACAAGCTCCTGGTAACCTGCATTTGTTCCTAGGGGTCCCCATGGGCTCATCATGTTTCAGAAGCACTGAACCCCAATCTTATAAGACCTAAACCCCATATTTCGCTGTAACCCGTTTAAAGGGACACATTTTGACAAATCCCAGATTAACAAAGGTGTCCGGGGGCGAGCTCAATCCTGCCGTTTCCACAGGACCAAAAACCCATCACGTTCCCGCCCTCCAGCGTTGAGGGTTCGGAGTTTAGGGGTTTCAATTTTTGCAGTCGGAGAGTGGCTGGATTAATGGGGATGGTCACCCACAATCAGCTGTAGGTATTTGAAGTTCGAGCAACTGCCATTCGGCCATGGATAGGTTGTGTTGTGGGATCCTCTCTCCGCTGACGTCTTTGAATGCATCTCTGCCATTCTGCCATTAGCGTATACGCAACCTGTAGTTCGCAAATAGGGGACCCCAATATAGACCCCAGAATGCCATAGTCCTTATAATGGGGACCCCCCAGACAGGTACCCTAAACCTCCTAAACCTCCTAATTTCAGGAAACCCGCATAGGAGTCTGTTAAGGAGGGCTGATCAAGGCACTGCAGACCCTGCTTCCTTATCGCTCAGCCTCGAACATTCAAGATCTGGGGGTCTCAAACCTGGAGCTTCCAGGTCTATTATAGTATGCTATAGAAGATTATAGTATATTATGGTAGGTTATAGTGGTTCCTAGTTTTGTTTAGTATGTTATAGTAGATTATCGTATATTATCGTAGGTTATAGTAGGTTATGGTAGAGTTTAGTATGATATGGTAGGTGATAGTATACTTTCGTATATTATAGTAGGTTATGGTACATTATATTATGTTATAGTAGATTAATATATGACAGTTTATTCTAGTAGATTGTAGAGGATTTTAGTAGAATCAGGTATATTATGGTCTACTATAGTTACTACCATGAGCTCCATGCAGACCCAGAACCTCGATAATTCTCAACGTAAGTCCCAGGAGACGAGACCCCCGAATTCCAAGAACCCGCCTACTAAGGATTAGGGTTTAGGGTTTTGGGTTTAGGGTTCAATGTGCAGCACCCGTCAGGATTGACTGTGGCTAGCTCGATTTACTCCCCGGCGGGCGCAACAATTGATGGGTCAGTCGCCCTAAACCTGTTGCTGCGCTGATCTTGGGAAAGCTTTGCTGGAAATCTAATGGACAAGTGATAGTTGGAGGTCTGAGCAGCCGAGAGCAATTTTCCCAGCCCCTGCGCTGACCACTCAGACCAAGAAACCTTTTTTGTTGGTGAGCCCAGAAAACTTACCCCCTAACAATGTCTAGGTTGCAGCTAGCTGCCTTTGAGTTCTTGGGTGGCTTGCTTGCCGTGACATGGCTTGCGCTAGAACACTTGGATAGTTTAGGGCTTCCCAAGAATGTGTTGATTGGTCCAAATAATAAGCATGAGTATAAATCGGGGTCTATAGTGAGGTCCCCCTAGATACCAGATAGTAGCACATTCGATGTGTACCTCTGCGTTCTCTTTCAGCGCTGCACTCTAATTACTGTTGGTACTCGTTTCCCAGGTTTAGGGATGTGCCTTCAGGCGTCCAAAGCATTTTTACAATAGTGAGAAGTAATTTGTCTTGTTGCGGTGGATCATTAGCTGAGAGCGCTTTATGGGTTCAGAAGTATCCTGCCAGGTCTACGAAGCTCTAAGGCTTTCCAAACGTAGGGGTCTAGGGGTTACTATGGGGGATCCCTGTTTTCAGCTTCATAGTCTTCGCGGTACATTGGCGGGGCCTCCATTTGAGGCCACATTGGAAAACCGCCATCTTTCTTCAATGAGATGTCTTCGCCCCAGCAAGACAAGATGTTGTCTGGTTCTGTCTCCAGCCTCATCTTGCCTTACACATCAAGACCTCGCGAAAGAGCTACCAACATCTTCTCATCCTAAAGCGCGCCTTCGTATGACCCTCTACATGGCTAGAAGAACCCTAACATAACCCCTATGCGATCCCTCTAGCCCCTTTTTAACCCCATAGTAACCCCAAGCCTTGAAGCCTTAACCCGAGTTGCTTCGAGGTAGTAGTGTTCTACGTGACGCATCCGACAGAGGTGGACAAGGAGGAGGCATGGTACTCCTGCTACTTGCTGGTTATCCTCAACTTTTGGGGCTATGTAATATGTTTAGGGTTTAGGGGTATAATTATCATATAGGGGTTACATTGGGCTTTTTTACGGGGTTATACCAAGGTTATACAGGAGTTATCATGTGTGGTTTAGGATAAGAGGATTAAGGTTTCATTTGTTCGAAAAGAGTTGCAGGAGAGCGCCTTGAAGGCATGCCACAAGCTACAAGTCTCAACAGTCTCAACTTTGCATCTAAGCTCGGAAGCATTTGCCCTTAGCCTGGACCCTTACCTGTTTCCCAGGTCCGAACTCTTGGCCCCTGGCTGGGTTGATAGGGTCCCACACTACAGGCCCAGAGTGCCAATTTTGTTCACTCCTCATAAGTCTTGTACTCTTGAAAACTGAAAACCTCAAACTTCAGCGAGGCTATGCTGCCGAGTTCCTCGGCACCTTTGTGCTGGTCTTCACGGCGACTTGACGCAGAAATGGTATTTTTAAATAGGGTTTAGGGATGTTTAGGGTTTGAGGACACCCCCACATGATTTCTGGTATTTGTTTTCTGATCGAGATATGGGGGTTTCCGAAAAGTAGGGACTCTCTCATATACGCTCAAATACCCTCTTGAAACAAATAGCCCGTTCTCCAGGTGGTGTGCAACGTGCTGGCTGGCGATGCAAACTGGTCGCCGACTTCCATTGCTTGCTCTTTGATGGTGATGATCTACGCCACGGGCGGAGTTTCCGGAGGGCACTTGAATCCGGCAGTGACCTTTGGCATCGCCTTGGCCACGGGTGACTGGTCTATGAAATTCTTAGGCTACTGGGCATCGCAAATTGTGGGCGGTTTGGCCGCAGGATTTGCTGCCTGTAGTCTTTACTCCGATGTCGCCAATGTAGACGTGAAAGAGCCTTACCACACATCGCACGCACTGACGGTTGAGCTCATCTACACAGCCATGCTGGTCTTCACCGTGCTTAGCGTAGCCGTGTCCAAGCGCAATAATCCCGCCACGGACGGCAACAACTTCTACGCGCTCGCTATCGCCTGGGTCATCATCGCCGGAGGCTACGCAGTAGGAGGCAAGAAGTTACAAACAGACAACGCTGGAAAGTTTAGGGCTTAGGGTTTAAGCCTGAAGCACCTCTGCAAGTTTTATCAGAAGCTGTGCTTGCCAGGGACTTTCTTGCCATGGGAGCTTTCGGGTTCAAGATGTTGTCTGCAAGAAGATGTGCTAAAATCATCCCCTAATGGTCGAAGTGCCCAAATCCTAAGCACTTTGACCTTCGAGGGGTCTCTATCCAGTACACTCCAGCCGCTCACATATGGCGCACCTAGCAAGAGACCGTCTGAATTTTCAACTCTAAGGCCTCAGCCCCAAACCATAAACCCTCAACCCCAAACGCTCCATCCTTAAACCCTCAACCCGTTTTCTCTTTAAATCGCGGAGCTCATCCCTTCAGCCTGTAGGAATCTCTGGAGCTGCTTTCAACCCGGCTGTGGCCATTGGCCTGGATGTATCAAGCTACAGCACCTGGCCTGGTCAAGTGTAACCACGGGGATCGAAGTAAATAAATGATACGTACTTTCTGCCCTAAAGTCTATATCTAATTGGATCTCTAGGGTAAGGCGCAGGTTTCAGTATTTACCGTTTTTTGGGAGGGAAGCTGTAGTTCAGCACCTCTTGTGACATTGAGCTGGTACTAGATGGCAGGCAGGATCTTGGGCGTGCCTCAGAGTCTCCACCCAACAAATGGCGACGCATAGGGGTGACAATGAGGAATCAAATATATCGGCCTTCATGGGAAAGATCACTAAAGATTCCCTTTGTGGTATATTTCTGTATATCGGAAACCTTTACTATATGGGGGGGGGGGGGGG